TTTTGGCACACCTGTTCATGCATCTTTTTTTTACACATGTGCAAATTTCAGACCCAGAGCTCTCAAGGTCAGGTCACCAGGTCACGTCAAAAGACCTCACCTCAGAAAAAAGTTGCAATCCTCGTCATAGCTACACCGACTGAACGATCGCCTTGAAACTTTCAGCGATTGATAAGAGTAACAGTATGTCTAAAATGTTTATCTCGGAATTTTGATATCAGTGACATATGGTCAGGTCAATTTTGCGACCTCTCCATTATAAGTCAATGGGAGAAAATTGAAATGAGCCTTTTTTGGACGAATGGTATTTAGAACCCTCTCAAACATCGTTTCATAGGTAAACATGATACACTGAATCGGAAAAAATGCACCTGTGACCCCTCTGTGTGCCCTTGAGGTCATCTCAGGTCATAGACGGTCACCACCAGTTTTTTGGCTGTAACTTTTGATAAAGGCGTGCTAGAGCGATGAAAACACTTCAGATGTATTCAGCTCGACGATACGGATCGACTGATATGCAACATGACCCTTTTCGGTCAGGTTATGACCTTGACCTGAGGTCAAATTTTAAAAATGACCTTTCAAGGTCAAAAAAATAGTTCATTCGACGCGTCTCGACGAGAGGCACATGATGCTGCCAAAAGTAATGTCGTGGCACTCTTAAGTCAAAAGTTATTGCCGAAAAACAGTTTTCGTGAAAACTGCTATTTTACAGTTTTTGCCCTTTGGAGGCTAAACCGTTGACCTTAGGTCAAATCTGAGAACAATGGTCAGAAAGGTCTGTAAAAGGGCTATCGAATGCGCTTTTCCGCGGCGCTGTAGCTCTATTGGTCCCGAGTTAGCCGTTGCAGTTTCCAAAATTGTTGAAATGGCCTACATTTGACCTTCGATGACCTCAGGCGACCTGACCTTTGACCTGACCCAAAAAATGACCGAAGTGTTTCCGTCATTATTTTTGACGCTCTTTCGAATAATGCTTACTGCGTGTCGCTACGTGGCCCAGGAGCCGAGTTAGACCAGACACCCCCCTCACCGCCCGGCGCGGAAGTCGCGGAGCACCAGCCCGGCGCGGGTTAATCCCAGGCTGAGAGCGTTCAAGCTTAGGTCACCCATATACCTCTGTATACCGAGACATGCAGAAGTCTGTGGCTCACCAGGTGATATCAAGTTCTCACGAAATGATAGGGGAGAGTGGGGTGGGTTGTATCAGTTTTTACTCCGAGACCCATAAACTCGTAACTATCCGTGCAATAAACTCATTATTTCCATACTGTCCCCTTCCTTGATTCTTCTGCTTTTTTGTGCAAAGTAACTTTTCCGCTACCTCTACCAGTTTTTCTTCTACGGTCTGCCGAATAGAACAATGTTTTTGATACAACTTGCCCCATGGCTTGGGTGAGTTGTATCACATGGTGGGGTAATTTGTATCACTATTTCACGTTTCAGGGAGTGTGCTTGCTACTGGTTTTGAACATAACAGCAACATTAAATGGGGTTAATACAATGTATAGGTATGCTCAAAGGCTTCACTTTATTAGACCAAACTTAGGTCAATGCAATCCGAACGAAACATCAACAGACTAGACGCAAAAGTGGCCCGTTAAGAGCAAAGAAGCCAACACATTGTGCCGAAATGGAACGAGCATTGACTAGCTACCTACAAACGCGAGCCAGGGCTTAGCTTTCGCGATCAAAAGCAACATACCCATGCATACATACATACATACATGTTACAACATACCCCACCCGGCTCTGATACAACATGTACCTAGCCGCCATCTTGGAAAAACATCCTCGTGCTAAAAAAACAGCGGACAGCTGGAGAAATCCGTTTTCACTCACGCAGCCTTAGAACCTACCCTCACCACCGCTACGGAGATCTTTCAAATTCGTGCACATCTAAATGCCCAAAACACACATTTTCTTGCAACTTATTTTTTTTAGAATGACATTTAAAAAAAACATAAAATCGGCTCTCACCTCGAGACGCGTCCACTCAGCCACAAGACAGAACAGGGAAAGATGGCGCCCGGAAAACCTCGTCGGCTGGTCGTGTCGCGAGCGCCATCCATTGGATAAGTTTGGCACAATTCGCCCTGATACAACTTGGACATGATACAACTCTCCCCGCTCTCCCCTACAAATTACTCCTGCTTTGATCTAGAGGTGGCAAAACGTGAAAATTTTGGGAACCAGACTCGAACCAGACCCGGCTGGACATTTCTGGAACCAGTCGGACCCGGTCTAAGTTGGAATCGGAACCAGTTGGACCCGTTCCCCAAAAGTCAATTACCTAATACAAACCGTTTGTAGAAATCATTAATTGCATCGTGTAAAACAGCCCTTTTCCCACTGATAATACTTATGAACTACAGTGTGCAAAGGAACATACATGAGCAAATGTTTTCTTTCCATTCACTTTATATTTTGCAATCATATGTAGTGTCCACTATGTATGGTTTATGGTAGGACCCGGTTGGACCCGCCAGAAAATTTCCAGGAACCGGTCCGGACCCATATGGGTCCAGACCGGTTCTTTTGACCGGGTCCTCGGGTCCACATTTTGCCACCCTTTGAACAAAAAAGATGATGTAGGATACCAGTATAGTAAGAGGAGCGCTAACATTGGCTCGATGGGTGCTATGAACCGTTGGGACGCTACGCCAAGCAAGAGTGGCGCTTTAACAGCAGGGATACCATAACACACAAGGCCCTGTGGGACGATTACATTGACTCAAGGGGCGCCCTTTAGAATCGGTGCGACACCGTGCAGAGGGCGCCATTCTTAACCACATCAATTTTAATACTCACTGCAGATGGCCTCCAAACTGTCTCGAGGGGTGCCTTCAGGAACCGATGGAACAGCCACCGAAATAGGGGCGCCGCTCTAGCTGCAGTGATGAAATAAGGTATTGACCGCATTGACCAGAGGAGCGCTTCATGTGGCTAAAGGGGCGCGTTGGTAAACTGGTGGGGCGCCACCCCATGCCCAGCGAGGGGCGTCGTACTTAGCAAGGAAATTATGTAAGTCAGAGGAGCGCGAACTTCGGCTCGAGGGGCGCTTGTATGAACCGTTGAGGCGCTAACCTAGCTAAGTGTGCCGTTTTAGCAGCAGGGATGCCAAAACACACTATAGCGTGCTATGGTATCTAGGCCCTCTAGCCTCCCCCCCCCTCCCCGAGGAGCGATGATTATGACTCAAGGAGCGCCCTTAAGAATTGGTAGGCCACATACATTTCATTACTCAGTGCAGAGGGGCGCCAAAACGGGCACGAGGGGCGCCTTCAGGAGCCAATGGGGCAGTCTACGGACTGGGGGCGCTGTTCTAGCAACAATGATGATAAGGTATTGGCCAGAGGGGCGCTTCATCCACCTGAAGGGTCACATTGATAAACGGATGGGGCGCCGCTCTGCATGCGGGGGCATTAGTTATTAGCAAAACAGATGACATAAGACGTGCGTGTTGTCAGAGGGGCACCACTTTGGCTCGAGGGGCGCTTTTTAACCAATGGGGCACGCTATTTAGCTAAGTTTTTACTTGCCGCAAGCGGCGCACCATCCCTGAGGAACGTTACACAAACGACTGACGACTCTCTCGACATGGGCATCAGAGGTGCCCCTATAGACCTCACAGGCGTCTCTAATTCCCATTGAGGCGCCCCTTTGGGCTTCAACTGGAGCTCCTCTTTCTATGGGCCTCGGAGGCGCCCCCATTTGGCATGCAGTCTCCCCTCTTTCGTATTGGGGCGCCATTATGGCCTTAATGGGCGCCCCTTTTTCATGTGGGCGCCCCCTATACTATAGACCTCAGAGGCACCCCGAAGGGCCTCAGAGGCCAATAAGGTGCCCCTCTTTCGCATGCAGGCGCCCCTGGCCCTGTGGCCATCTCAGGCGCCCGTGTTTTGCATTGAGGCGCCCCTGAGGACTTCATGGGCGCCCCTCTTTCGCATGCAGGCGCCCCCACGGCCTCAGAGGTTCCCCTCTCACGCATCCCATTTCCATATAGGCGATGGCGCCCCCTTGAAAGATGGCGCACGCGCTCCTATGACGCCGCTGGCCCGTGAGGGCGCCTTTCGGGCCTGGGGGCGCCCACCAAGGTTGGGGGGGGGGCAAACGGAATGTTGGGGTGGCAAAATTTCAAGTTGGGGGGGCACCTGCCTCCCCAAAAGTATACAAAGTTACGCCCCTGGTTATAAATATGGTCCAAAAGCATCAAATTTAAATTATCTTTCAGAATCTGTGCATGATGTTGCCTTTTTAATGTTAAGAACTGAATTTAATAGCTGTTGAATACACAGCCGCCATTGGTGTCCTTGGTCACCCTGTTCCACTAAATGTAGTATTTTTCAAAAACTAGCCTATGGCGGTGTCTAAAACATTTACCAAAATTTACAAAATTGTATACACTATTAGAAATCTGAAAGCTTAAAGCTCTATGACCTCTGGCATTTTGACAACTTACTTCCGAATCTCGAATTTAGATTTTTGAGAACCCAACATTTCTGAACGAAATCATTGCTCCTTGGTCAAACTGTCAATCATCTGCTTTCAAAAGGTCTTAATTAAAATCAAAATTTCATTTTCTTTCCAGATATGGATATTTTATTGCAATTTAGAAGGTGTTAAGTATATTTTTTTGGTCTAGAATGAGTTACCATTCATGCTGCTGAAGGTTACACTATGGAAATTAACGAAATATTACTAAAAAACAAGCCTATGGCGGTGTCTATTTCAAGATGAATAATAAACAAAATTCAATTGTCTATTTGTTGATATAAGTCGTAAAACATGATGACCTCTGGCATTTACGAGATTCGGTGTTGAAAACTGCAGACCATGATTATCACCCACAGTTGCGCACAGTTTTCTGTACTGCTTTCGCTGGCAAACGCCAGTGCTCGCATTTGATTGGTCTAACGGCGTTTCTTTTGCTAATTGAGAACACTCTGCAGTTTTATTTTGGTTTCTATGTATTTTGTTGATTATTGTTGATGTTGTTGGATTTGGTGATATTAGGCAAGGTATTAGGCATTTTTCAGTCACACCATTCCCGTGGTATTATGGGGTAAGCACTTTTAATGTTTTATTGTGAGAGGTTACCTGTGCCAGGTTGGGTGATTTTGTTTAAGTTTTTGTTCTATGGTTTAGTTGAGATTGAAATCACCAGGGCAGAGTTTGTTGCATTCTGCATGCATGTTCCTGTTCCTCATACCCTTGTTCCGCAAGGCGTACATTGTTTGTTTTTATTGATTTGTCATGCCTCAATTACCAATCCTACGAAGTATGTAGTCTACCGGAAGTCTTTATAAACCTAATGCCCAGATTCATTTTGTGCATCCGCTCTCTCTTTGCGCGCTTCCATGGTGTTCTCCCTCTCGATTTCATCCTCTTTCTCCTCTGCGTAGGTATCAACCCCCTGCTTCGGACGGCCATTCAGGTAGATGCCTTTGGAGCTTGCAGCAATGAGTGTTAGAAATGAATTACCAGAAATAAATGATGCTGTGAAAATTAATCAACAAAAGCTGACAAGGATGAGTTATTAAAATATTATATCACTAAAAAGTTTTATTTGTGTAGCGATCATGAAGTACATGCCCTGCCCCTCTGGCCAATCCTGGTCAATCCTGCTCCGGGTTGTTCAGACAACTACCCCATGTGGGAAGCCCGAAGCTCCCCCAGGAGTATGGCCATAATAGCTGGGTGTGGTGAGTGTCACAGGACTGATAGCCCTATAAACACAGGTCGGGTGGGAGGGTATTAGTAGAATAAGCTTAGGATGTTGGTTAAGCCCTTTCCTCGTCACCCGCCTCTGTCACCAGTTTTCTCCTCAGCCTCCAGAGCTGGTAGAGTCCATCCTTGTTCTGCTCCATCTCTTTTCTATCATCGTTAAAGAGGAATGCTTTCAGTACCTCGTTGGGTTCTTCCACGTATGGCCTCAGTAGAGCTAGGTTTCATTGTCTTTCTTCTGTTAGCTTGGTACACTCTAGCATAAAATGGACTTCATTTCCTTCTTCTTTTCCACAGAGCTTAATCACCGTTATCACCTCATCCACCGTCTGCTCAATGTGTGAGGAATATGGAGACAAAGGCTGCTTGATAATTAAACAAGTTCTGTGTTTTCTCAGGAAGTCAGTACTTTGTTAGATATGTGATGAGTTTAACGTAGACAATTGCAGTCTTATGTGTCGATGAAACTAAAAGTCTTGGAAACATGATAAGCTTAGCATAACATTCTGCCATTGTGTTCATGTGTTTGGCTTTGTCGTTCCTATTGTAGGTATGCTTTGTGGATTCTGAGTTCTGACCATATTATCTTCCACCAGGTTCATTGCTGGCAGTGGTTCAGGAGACAGTGGTTCGATCCAGCTGTAGAACGTCACCTGCAGGAAGTAGCATTGTGATGGCCAGCCACGTGGCGCGTGTATCCAGCCACATTGTCCAGAAACCATCACATCATCTCCAGGTCAGTAACCGTGTGGACCAGTCCAACGCGTCCACAGGTCACTGGTCAAGCTGTATACCACCACGTCACTAGGTCAGTGACATAATGGCATTGTGTGACCCGTCGCCGCGTCCTTATAAGGACCACTCACCTATAGGTGGGTGGCTCGGGGGAACTTTTTGTGTTGCCGGGATGGGATGTCTGCTAAATGCAGGTGCCGCTGCAAGTGTCGTGACGTATGATGGGTCTCAGGCTCGGATTTCGATTTGTCGAGTGAGAAATGTGTGTACAGGCTAATGTAATGTTATTATAGCTGAGTGTGCAACAGGAAACGTTAATCATGAGCTGTGAGTCGTTGTCGCCGTGGCTCGTAGTGGTATTTGACGACCATCGTGACCTGTGACGGTCACCGTGACTGCTATGTGATGGTCGCCGCGGCTGGCATATGACGGCCGCCGTGACTTCTATAACGGCCTTTGTGACTGAATCGTGACGGTCGTCTTGATGTGCCGCGACTCGCTGCTTTACAGGTCACTGGTCGCGGGTGCTCGAGTTGACTGTGTCTTCAACGGCTCCACGGTGACCAGCGCCGCCACCGCCGAGACCATCCGATTCCTGAAATGATAATGGCCGTACACGAACAAGAGGCTCTATGCATCCAGATGCAAGTCAAGCGCCATGCTCAGAGGCGTCATCCGGAGAAGGCCGCACAGTGCACTTTAGGCTGAGCTCGGGTGTAGTGCGCGCTGACGGATAGGATGAAATTACGGGCCGGCCATCAGATTTCAGTGCGGGGATGAAGATGGTCGGAGCCGACGTGGCTCGGTTGATGGTGTGCCAGGAGGGCTGTTCACGGGCCCTGTGTGCGGTCGGACCGCACACAGCCTTCAAGCTCCGCCCACTGCGTCCCTACGTCAGCCTTCCGTCACCGCACACAGCGATCGCTGTGGCCGGTCGGGACTGGCCACAGCGGACCGTCCACCGCACGCAGCCGTGACGTCAGAGCCGCCTACCCATCCCCTACCACCACGCCTGCTGGACGCACCGCACACACCGCACGCAGCAGTGTGCGGTGCCCGTGAACACCCCTAGGGTTAATTCAGAGTGGAGGCGAGACACCCGGATCTGTGAAGGATACGCCAATACGGGTCTCGACGTCGTCTCGCAATTTGTGCTATGTAATATGACAGCTATGCCGTGGTATTCGACATTAGGGCCCCCTAATGAAGTTTAGTGGCTCGACGAGGCGCGAATTGGAGACTCCGCGAGCCGCCTGGTCCGAGGCAGGGTCGGGAGAACACTCTGTGGGGAGGGGGCGAGGACGGGGAGGGAGGGGGAAACGGGACGGAGGGGACAGCCGTCAGTCTGCGGCAGAGGCCGGCGGGGAGCGGAGATGGACCGCGGACAGCGCGTCCCTGTGTGATAGAGCGTGTGCTTTACGTCCTGTGAGTCGGGCTCGTGAGTAGTGTGGGTACGGCGCCTAGTGAGCACCATCGAGGACGACTCAGTGGAGAAACGGGGCATGGACACCGCTTATCACTACGACCGCGACAGTCACGGCATGGCAGGTGGGTCCGGTACGCCGGCACCAGCGTCCTCCACATGGGTCATGTGTGATATGGCTGGCTGTGTTGACGAGTTACCGGGTACCTGTATGAGTCGTGTTGTGCGTGTGTTTGTTACACCGGCAGCGGAGGGTGCCGGGCCGTTCCAGGCTGACAACGTCGAGATTGGGCCGGTAAACGGCCGACGGCGGGCGAGGGGCGTGCAGGCCGACAGCGCCGACACAGGGCCAAGGCGGCCGACAGACCGGGTGCCGGGCCGTTTCAGGCCGACAGCGCCGACACAGGGCCATGGCGGCCGACAGACCGGGTGCCGGGCCGTTTTCAGGCCGACAGCGCCGACACAGGGCCATGGCGGCCGACAGACCGGGTGCCGGGCCGGTTCAGGCCGACAGCGCCGACACAGGGCCAAGGCGGCCGACAGACCGGGTGCCGGGCCGTTTCAGGCCGACAGCGCCGACACAGGGCCATGGCGGCCGACAGACCGGGTGCCGGGCCGTTTCAGGCCGACAGCGCCGACACAGGGCCATGGCGGCCGACAGACCGGGTGCCGGGCCGTTTTCAGGCCGACAGCGCCGACACAGGGCCATGGCGGCCGACAGACCGGGTGCCGGGCCGTTTCAGGCCGACAGCGCCGACACAGGGCCATGGCGGCCGACAGACCGGGTGCCGGGCCGTTTCAGGCCGACAGCGCCGACACAGGGCCATGGCGGCCGACAGACCGGGTGCCGGGCCGTTTCAGGCCGACAGCGCCGACACAGGGCCCATTGCGGCCGATCGACCGGGTGCCGGGCCGTTTCAGGCCGACAGCGCCGACACAGGGCCATGGCGGCCGACAGACAGGGTGCCGGGCCGTTTCAGGCCGACAGCGCCGACACTGGGCCACAGTGGCCGACAGACCGGGTGCCGGGCCTGTTTCAGGCCGACGACGTCGAGATTGGGCCGGTAACGGCCGACGCCGGGCGCCGGGCCGTGCAGGCCGACAGCGCCGACACAGGGCCACCGCGGCCGACAGACCGGGTGCCGGGCCGTTTCAGGCCGACAGCGCCGACACAGGGCCAAGGCGGCCGACAGACCGGGTGCCGGGCCGTTTCAGGCCGACAGCGTCGACACAGGGCCACAGCGGCCGACAGACCGGGTGCCGGGCCGTTTCAGGCCGACAGCGCCGACACAGGGCCACAGCGGCCGACAGACCGGGTGCCGGGCCGTTTCAGGCCGACAGCGCCGACACTGGGCCGGCTAGCGGCCAACAGCACGGGTGCAAGGCCGTCAGACTGTCAGCGCCGACACGGGTGGTGGTCGACGGGTGCCGGGCCGCCCGCGCGCAGCGGGGCTCGGTGGCGGCGGCGCGGCGGCGCCCGTGCCGGGCCGGCTGCGGTCGAACCGGAGGAGCCGGGATACAGATGGTTTACGACCCTGGGTGGCCGAGGGTGCCGGGCCGCCCGCGCGGCGGGGCTCAGTGACGGCGGCGCGGCGGCGTCCGTGCCGGGCCCGTGCGCGGCGGCGTCCGTGCCGGGCCCGTGCGCGGCGGCGTCCGTGCCGGGCCGGCTGCGGTCGAACCGGCGGAGCCGGGCCACAGATGGTTTACGACCCTGGACCCCTCCCCCTCCCCTTTATGGCAGGCCCGCCCCAGACGGCGGGACACGAATCGAGTATCACTGGTCCGTTGGGAGTATCACGTGTCTGGAAGGAGTATCACTCTTCTGTCTGGTGGGAGTATCACTAATCTCCTGGGAGCGTATCCTGTTCGGAAGGTGTCACATGGCTGTTGGACCATAGCCGGCGTCAGCTGAGAGGTCAGATGTCGGGTGGGGGAGCGTCGGGCCGGCCGAGGCGGGCGGGACGGTCGAGGGGATGGCTGCATGGCGGCGTCCGGGGGGGGGGGGGGGCGAGGCGGGACCACCGGCCATTTGAGCAGTACGTGCACGGCCGTGATGGCGAGTGGGTGGCCAGGGTTTCCCAACGGCGGCGCGCATCCGTGCGACAGTGACGTTCAATTAGTGACGGTGACGTACGAATTGCTACGAAACAGCCTGGCGCCGGGCTCCCGTCGAGCCTATGAGACGGGCCAACGCCGGTACATTGAGTTCTGCAGGCGGTACGGGCTGACAAGCGTTCCGGCGTCGGATGACACACTCACATATTTTGTGGGTCACCTGAAACGGGCGGGACTAGCCGTCGCTAGCGTGAGGCAGTATTTGGCAGCAGTGAGACACCTTCATCTTCAGTGGGGTCGGCCGCTGCCAATGGGCATGCCCCCCTACACTGCGGCCGCGCTTCGTGGCTACGAGCCTCGGGGCGGCGGTACGGAGCCCCGCCGGCAGGCGATCGACATATCGGTTCTTCGCCGCCTGAAAACCCGTTTGGCATCATTATTGCCATCGGCTTGGGACCAGCGGTGCGTCTGGGCTGCATGCACACTGGCGTTCTACGGCGGCCTGCGGAGCAGCGAATTCCTCGTCACCGGCCACGGACGGGGAATACGGCATGGTGATGTGTCTTTCACATCGGTCGGCCTTCGGGTACTGGTGGGAATTCAAAAAAACCGACAGCATGGACCGCCAACGGCAGTCGAGCTCCCAGTAACAGGCACGTCCACTTGTCCTGTGAAAGCTATGTACCTGTACCGACAGGCAGGGCGCGCGGCGGATGGAGCGCCGCTCTTTGTACTGGACTCGGGAGCAGTGCTCACGCGACGACGGCTGAATGATCTTCTCCGTCGCGCGCTTGGGCCCGGATTCTCTTCTCACTCCCTGCGGATTGGTCTGGCCACGGCTGCGGCGGCGGCGGGTGTGGCCGACCCTGTACTGCGCCGCTTGGGACGGTGGCGGAGTGCAGCGTGCGACGGATACGTCCGGGGACACAGGAGGGCAGTAATCGAGGCCTTGGTCGCAGTGGCGGGGTCGGGCCATTAGCGCTCAGTCTGGTACTATCGGTATCTTTTTTGTCGTGCGTGTTTGTCCACATGTATACTAGTCGAGATTATGGCCGTGTGTACGGTCTGACAGGATTGCGGCCGCTCCGCGCTGCCAGCGGCGAACAAGATAGGATCGACGCCCAACTGCGAGCGGAGTTAGACTGTGCACTCGCGATGGGCCGCCAGGATGGCGGCATGCATCCGGGGTCCGGTGACGAACGCGGCGGCGGTCACGAAGGTGTGCGATCGCATGCAGCAATCCACCATCAGAGCCAACACCGCGATCACCTGCCCCGGCCGCCGCTACGGTGACGGCGGCCGGCGCGGCGACGGCGACGGGCCCGGCTTTCCGCAGTGGGCCCCCGGCAGTGGGGGCGGGGCCGTGTGGGCCGGGTACAGGGCCGGCGGCTGGCGGCCGTGACCGAGAGCCGGTGGCACGACCCCGGCGGCCCGGCTGTTATAGTGCGGAGGACTCGTACATACGGGGACGATGGGCCGGGACCGATGACGTTCTGGGGTATGATGACGATCGCGAACGGGCTGCGGCGCCGGCGACACGTTTCGGCGACCTTCGACGGCACGGCGGCGGCCCTGAGCCCCGGAACGCGGACCCGGAGCAGCGCGGCCGCACCGGGCGGCGGCGGCGCCGCCGACACAGCAGCGATGGGGGACCGGTGCGCCGCCGGCGGCGGGACGACCTGTCGTCCTCATCAGAGTCGGAGTCTGACGAAGAGGACGGCATCGACCGGAGGGTGGAGTATCGGGCCGCCCCGACGCGGTCACGGACGGGGGCGGCGCCGACGGCTCTGCGGCTGCCTGCGATCCAAGTCAGAGCCGAGCGGCGGCTACGGAACAGGCGCCTGTATGTGTCAGTGGAGGAGGCTTACGATGCCGCAGAGGGCCGGCCGAACACGGCCATGGAGTATGTCGACCGTGTGGCCGGCTTGCTCACACACACACAGTGTTTCACTTCCCTGAGTGCGGGTTGCAGGTGGTTGGGTACCTGAGTTGGCTTGTCGGGCTGTGTGCGCGGCGCTCGCTCCGCGACGTACAAGTGGCCGATAGCCGGGCGCGTCAGGCCATGGCCATGCGGCCGAGAGATTTCATGACGCATGATGATCTGGACCGGTTCGCGGCGCCCGCGGCCCCAGTGCGGAATGGTGGGAACCCAGGCCCCGGGGGAGGGTTTCGTAATGGCCGAGTGACATGTATGCGTCATGTTCAACGGAACGTGTGCCGTTCCCCGTGCCCCGAGAACAGGTATCACCCGCCGTGTACCGAGTGTGGTTCTCAGGTCCACCCTACAGGTTACCACGGAGCACCAATCGGCGGTGGCGGTTTTGACCCGGCATTGGGCCGCGGCCGGGGACCGGTGAGCCG